TCCATGCTTGGGACCATTCTCCACACATTCCGCCAAACCTCACACATGAAGGGACCGGCGGAGGAGCCCAGGCATGCAGGACCCGAGGCTGAGATCTCCAGGTCTGTTCAGATGGGCGCTGGGCCTTCTCCACCCAGATCTCCCATCTTTCAGTAGGTAGGCGTTACACATACCAACTGCCCCGGTGCTATGTTATCCCATCAATGGCCAAGACCCAGAGACTATAAAACCCAGCTCCAGGAAGAGAACAGTGCAGAGTCTCCTGCCCCCATGCCTGGCTGTCTTTGCTCCCCAAAGCGACCTCTTATCTAGTTCTTACTCTGGGAGAACCCAGCAGGCTACCGAGAGTATCCTGTTTACATGGCAGAGTTTGGCAAATTCCGCATGGCATATTCGATATGCCGAAATCCAGTAACAATGATGTGTCTCATTGCCCTGATCCTGAAAGAGACTCGAATGTGCCACTTTCTAAAATCTCAGGGCTAGGATGAAGGAGACATTACTGGCACCTGCTCGAGGAAGTCGATGAACAACATGATGACACTGATACAGTGATAGTGATACTCTACAACTAATAATTCTTGTTTGCTATTTTGAGATGAGTAAAGCAGGATTAAATTATTTTTGCTTTCTTTCGCAGGATGCAGCATTTCAAAATATTCCCCTTTTGTGTTGACGAATTTAAGAATATCTGTTTTAAGTAAAAAGGTTTTTTTTGTTTGCTTTTTGGGTCACACCCGGCAATGCACAGGGGTTACTCCTGGCTCTGCACTCGGGAGATACTCCTGGCGGTGCTCAGGGGACCACACAGGATGCTGGGAATTGAACCCGGGTCGGCCGCGTGCAAGGCAAAACGCCCTACCCACTGTGCTATCGCTCCAGGCCCTAAAAAAGAGTTTTAATATTTGGTTCAGGATCACAGACAGCCCTTTTTGGATTCAGTTTTGTTTGGAGGAAGGTGCACATGCAGCTGTGCTCAAGGCTTTTGTTCTGGGTTTATACTTGGTGGTGCCAGGTTCAAAGTGGACTTGGACTTCAAGATAATCTTTTATACCAGTGTGCTATCTCTGTGGCACAAATTATTTATTTTCATGGAGGTCATGTGATTTAAAGCAGTTTACACCTGGCTGTCTTACAGATGCAGTGATTCTGCTTCATCCTCAGCAAACACAGTGTCAAAGACCCTCATCCACAATCCCACAGTTCTCACTCTGGAATCCTCTGTTCATTGTTCTGCTGACATTATCTCAGGGTTTGTTCACATTATCTCAGGGTTTTGCTGTCATTCCCCTCCTTTGTTTCTTTATACTCCACAAATCAGTTCATCGGTGCTTTGTCTCTCATTCTGACACATGATGTAGAATTATTCCTCCAATTTCATCCAGGTTGCAGTAAACAGCAATATTCCATATTTTCTCATGGCTTTAGATTCTACATGCATTATATATATACTGCAATCATTCACCTTTTGTTGTATGCTTGGGTTACTTTCAGCTCTCTGGAACAACATTGTTATGCACATATGCATGTGAATATATTTGTGGATTAATACATTAGAGCTATTGGTTAAATAACCAAGAAGGGAGTAAATGGCTAATAAGTATGTTCTATTCTAGAAAATTTAAGAATTGACGCTTATTTATCTTAAAGGCTAGCAGAGTCTCCTGCCCCCACGCCTGGCTGTCCTCACAGGGGCCCCTTGGAGGGGAGCAGGTTGAGTTTCCCTCCCCGCCCCAAGCAGAGCCCCAGCAGCCAAAAACCTCCAGAACTAGTCACAGCCATGCTGAGACCACTCTCCACATGCATGAAGGAACCGGCAAAGGAACACAGGCATGAGGGTCCCAGGGCTGAGATCTCCAAGCCTGCTCGGATCGGGACGGGGCCTCTACCACCCAGAACCCCCCAAACCCCCATCTTCCAGTAGGTAGGCGTCACACCCACCAACTGCCCCCGTCGCCAGGTAACCCCATCAATGCCCAAGACCCAGAGACTATAAAACCCAGCTCTTGGAAGCTTATTATCCCGACATCTTATTATCTAGTTCTTATCTGGAAAACCCAGCAGACTACTGAAAGCATCCTGCCTGCACGGCAGAGTCTGGCAAATTCCCCGTGGCGTACTCAATATGCCAAAAACCAGTAACAATGATGGGTCTCTTTCTGACCCTGAAAGAGCCTTGAATATGGCACTTTTTAAAATCTCAAGGGCTAGGACAAAGGAGACGCTACTGGTGCCTACTCGAGGAAATTGATGAACAACAGGATGATCGTGATCGTGATCGTGATCTTAAAGGCTGAATCAGAAAACAGTGCCGAAAAGAGCATTAAGGTGCCATTTTCATGGATTCACCCTCCAAGCATTAGTATTTTCCATCTTTTTGATACCTGCCAATCTCACTGGCATTATGCGATAACTCATTTTTGTTCTGATTATCATTTCCCTGATAATTTGTAATGATGTGACCTTTTGTAAGTAGTTGGTCAATTCTTCTTTGAAGAAGTATCTGTTCATATTCCTTATTTCTTGATGGAATTTATCAGATTTTTATGTGGAACAATGAGATGCTTCAGATATCATGAAAACCAGTCATTTATCCTATGTAGGACACACAAATAGTTTCTCCTAGTCAGAAAGATATCTCTTCAAATATCAATTTTTCTCTGAAATAAAAATAATTTAGTTGTTCTGTGAAGTAGCTATTCCATTTTCCATAGTCTCATTTGTATACGCATGACTTCTTTGCCAGGCATATATTCTCATTCACAAATCTCCTGGAATCAATATTGTGGATAAATAGGCCTAAGTTTTCCTTAGTCTATGTAATAAAAGCCTGATGTTGGGGTCTTTACTGTATTTTGAATTAACCTTTATATATGGTGTGAGAATTCTAGTGTTAACTTTTTTGCACAGGGCTTTTTCCTTCAGAATCATTTGAAGAGAACTTTTCTTGATCCACTTCTAGCTGTAACAGATATTGTCACAGGTTAACTGCTCCTACTTTAAGGGTTTACCTCTGGACTCTCAATTAAATTACATATTTCAGAGGAAAGTTTGCTTCTGGTATTGTGCAGTTTTGCTTAATGTAAGTTTGTGGTAGAGTTTCAAAAGAAACCAAGAGACATTGCATTCTGTCTTTAAACTATATTTCAATGAAAGTCTTCAACAATGTAGTGGTTTAAATTCCCTCCTGTAATACCAAACCTACACTTTAGTTTTTCATCTGAATAAAATTATTTTCTCATTATTAATTTTTGTCTAGTTATACCTCTAAATATACATGTTATAGGACAAACATAATCTTAATGTTAATTGGAGGAAATGTAAATTGTACAAATATATAAATTATATATAATTACATGAATTATATGAAATTATCTGGTGCTAAAGATGTACAGGCATTGCCTAATGTGAGCTGTTCCAGAAATGGATATTCTCTGGACACATTTTAAGTGTAAATAAAATATAAGTGATGTGCATATAAAATCTGATGAACTCTTTAGATGCTACACCATATTTAATTTGAATGAAAAGGATTGGCAAAACAGTCATAAGTTTCCTTCTCTTTCCTCAGGAATACAGCTTATCTTCAAATATGCTAGGAAAAGGGTAAGTATATTTGTTCCCAGATTCGGCTATAATTTCCAGATGCATAATGCTTAATTCATTTGTGTAAAATGATACGGTATTTTCATATAATCTACACAAACTCCTATATTCAAAAAATAAAATCATTTCATATGTAGAAAATAACACAATGTTCTCCTAGTAAGAATTGCAATAGTGTAGTTTGGGGATAAAAGCAACAGTCAGAGAGATACAAATGTTCATATATTTATTTTATTTCAGTTTTAAAATCAAACCCAGTGATACTCAGAGCTGATTCCAGAATTAGATATTCTCTGGACATATTTTAATCATTTTAATTCTGATTCCTGGCTCTCAGAATTGGTATCACTCCTGGCAGGGTTGGGAGGGACCAAATGTAGTGCAGGCATCAAAGTTGGTTCATGACAGGACAAATGTCCTACACATTTTTCTATCTCCTTTGATAACAGAATATGGAATTCCACTTTTGTTTGAATTAATATTTGCAATATAAGTTTATGTGAATGGATTTCTGTATAATTGATATACAGATATTTTCAGTTATATATATATACAACAAAGGTAGAATTCACATAAATTCTATTCCAATGTAATTTTCATAATCATTTGCTTCTAAATATCTTGCTTGATCTATATAATCTATAAATATTCTGTTATAAATAAAAATGCAAAAAATCATGTATTTTCAGTCAACTTTATTCTGCTTCCCGTTTTGCAAAACTTTATATAGCAAGTAAAACATAGGGCAATATCTGTGAAATTGGGAAAAGAGAAAATTAAAGTTTTAAAATGGGAGATGGTATTGATGTCCAAGTGTTTCTACAGAATTGATAGAAGGAAAAAGAATCTTTTTTGTAAAATTTTTTGGGTTACACTGGTGATGCTCAGAGGTTACTCCTGGCTCTGCACTCATGAATTACTCCTGGAGGTGCTCAGTGGAACAAACGGGATGCTGAGAATCTAATCCAGGTTGGCCAGGTGCAAGGAAAACCCTGTGCCCAGTGTACGATAGCTCCAGCCTGAAAAAGAATCATTTAAATTTATATGGCTGCCATTAGCACCAACCAGACAACACATGCACAAAAGCTCAATGGGTTCCTGACTAAGAGGTAGTATGCTGAATTTCCAATCAGTGAATCCGTGATTTATGACATTAATTCCAGAGAGTCTTGGCATTTGTGACACTGTTGGAGTCATTGACTTAGTGTTAATAGAACATGATGAATTTACCTATGGAAAGCAATGATGCTAAGGAGTAATTCAATGCAATTAAAATTTATTGCATAATTCATATTTAAATGAGCTATTCCCAGTGCTAGTCATGTGATTGTAAAGCATGTTACACCCATATTTGAGAGTATAAAAGGACTCTTTCTTCCAGGAGCACACATTCAACATCAGAAACCTCTCCCTCAAACTCCTCATCTCTTCTCCTGCCAAAATGTCCAGCAACTGCTGCTCTGGAAACTTCTCCTCCAGATCCCTTGGGAGCTGCCAGCGCTACTCAGCATCTGTCTGTGGCTCCTCTTACCCCAGCAACCTGGTCTACCGCACCGACGCCTGCTCCCCAAGCCCCTGCCACCTGGGATCCTCTCTCCACACTGGCTGTGGGGAAACCATCTGCAAGCCCACCAGGTGCCAGGTCCCCTGCGTGGTGCCCGTCTCCTGCCAACCCTCCTGCTACCGACCCGCGACCTCCATCCTCTGCACACCTTGCCAGTCATCCTGCTCCCGCCCCAGGCCCTCCACCCTCTGCAGCCCCTGCGGGTCCCCCTACTATGCAGGGGCTCGGGGCTGGAGCTCCAGCAGCAGCTGCTCCCTGGGTTATGGGGCTGGAAGTCGCTACACCGTGAGCTGCGCCCCCAGCGCCTTCACACCCCTGGCTTGCGGGGCCAGTGGCTTCCCTTCTCTGACCTATGGCTCTGTGTTCTGCCGCCCTTCCTACCTGACTTCTCTGCCCTGCCAGTCTTCTTGTTATAGACCAATCTTTGGGTCTAACTGCTAATGATCACCTCATTACCTTCTTCACTTTTGTTCCGAGTGTATCAATGATTCTGTGCTTAAGATGTTTAAACCTCATCATCTCTACATAAGATCATACTCTCACTCATTGACAATCTTCATTGTTTATAATCTTAAATATTGGGCACTTAGATCATTCATTTGAGAATTGTTTATCTTAATTATAATTAAAAATAAAGTCTATTTTATTCCTGAACATTGAATACTTTTGCTTGCTTTTTATTTATAATTCATTTTAAATTGTAAATTTCTCATAATGCAATGTTTTTATCAACATTAATTAAGCTACAGATTCTTGTTTTGAGTTCATAAATGACAGGATTTTATTTTGTAGATTAAAGAAATACCCTTAGTGAGTTAAAATATCAAAATCATGAAGAGCAATATTTCTTCACTAAATATGGGTATTTATTCATAAAACTACTAGTGTATACTAGCAAAAATATTTCATTCTTTCTATAGAGAATCTAAAAGAAATGTTAGATTTAGACATATATGAAAATGATATTAAATGCAAAAAGATTAATTAAATAAAAATAGCACAGTAAGTTATATTTTAGAGAAATGTTGATTGAAGGTACCTAATTTTTTTTGAATGATCAAGTAACTTCATTTTCTTAATGATGCTTCCTGATAGTTTTCTTTGGAAATCAAGAGTGTAAGGAACTATATTGTGAAAACTGATAGAAGGTATTGGATCTTAGATTTTGTATTTATCCTAGGATTTAATCATGCTTAATACAACCTCTGAATAATATCAAGCGTTTGATCTTGTAAGAAGAAATTTGATATATTTTTCATCCAAAAATCTGTCAATATCATTTCTCCTTTATATGGTAATTTTTTCTGTCACATACTAAAATTCCAAAACTATAACTGGGGATATAAACAGTTTAGATAAGAAAAAAACATATTTAAAGTACTTATTGAATGCTTAATAGATAACTCAATATACATGTATTAGTTCTTTGACATATGGAAGATCTTAGAAAAGCGCGATAGCACAGTGGATAAGGTGTTTGCCTTGCATGTGGCCGATATGGCCGACCCAAGTTCAATTCCTACACCCATCTCTCTCGGAGAGCCCGGCAAGCAACCAAGAGTATCTTCTCTGCACAGCAAAGCCTCGCAAGCTACCCGTGACGTATTTGATATGCCATATTCGATATGCCAAACCCAGTAACAACAAGTCGAAGAAGACGTTACTGGGCCAGCTTGAGCAAATGGATGAACAACAGGAGGACAGTGCTACAGTGCATTATAGTTTTATGCTAAGAAAAAGAACACTTAGTCAATAGGAATCTTACATGAAAACCTATTTCATGACATCTTAAAAGACATAATCTACTCTAAACTATCAAGATGCATAAATGTGAAGAGGACAATCTTACGGTTTTAGAAGATAAATACAATAAACACAGCATGAAAAGATGAACATGCACTGAATATGAAAGTGATAATTGAGTATTTTGTAAACTTACACATTAAGGATATTTTTCATGGTGTTTCAATGACAAATATGGCTAAAGTATTTGATAAATACCCACTACTCCAACATAAACTCATTTGTATCATCAAACGCATTGCATTTTGTATCACCATAATTCTTATTTGCTTTACCTCCATTTCAAAACACTAAACCATTTTTGTGATAAATCATCTTTAATTCTATCTCTACTATCTGTGTAACTTTCATATTGAAGAAAACGGACCCTCAGTTTAAACTCTAAGTTCATTTCTGTGAGTGAATAGTAAAAATATACATTTATTTTTTAGTAAAGGCCCTATTTTTTAGTAAAGAGAAATAGTTTTAATTAAAAGAATTTACTTAAATAAGTGTGAGAGGATCTAAAGGAAGATACCCCGGTAAAAGGGAAAATAAGACTTCTCCAGAGTTAAAAAAAAAAGGCAAAATATGGGCCTGGAGCATTAGCACAGCAGGTAAGGCATTTGCCTTGCAAGCACCCGATCCGGGTTCAATTCCCAGCATCCCATAGGGTCCCTGGAGCAGTGCCAGGAGAAATTCCTGAGTGCAGAGCCAGGAGTAACCCCTGAGCAACACTGATAGTGACCCAAAAAGCAAAAAAAAAGGCAAAATATATAGTCATAAATCAAAACAATTCTTGGAACTAGAACTGATATATTTAATTAAAAAAAATCTAAACAAAAAGTTATATGTGAAATTATCTTCGGAGATAGTGCCCTTAACAAAACCCAAACCCAAGCTGAGCATAGTCCCCTAGGGAAAATACAGGTAAATTCTTAGATTATAAAGTGGCACCAAACCTACTCCAAGGAAATAACAGAATAGACTACAGAGCAAGGAAAGAAATGAACAGGAAATAATAGAATAGAAAAAATTAGGATCTTGTAGATGAAGAGGACAATATGAACAAAAATAGAATAAGAAACTCTCATGATATTACTTTATACTTTAAGGATGTCTGCTAATTGGCTTTGTGTTAAATGCATGTCTTTGCTCTGAATGTAGCCACTGAAATGCGATGTGCTTAGAAACTGTTTTAGTGCGTCTGCCAACTTAAACAATAACTTGCAGACTGAGAGCAAGGGTGGAGGTGAGAGGTATTGAATCAATGGCCTGGCTGCAAGCTCACTTGTGGCTGCTCAAGCAACCCTAAAGCTTGGACAATCCTGTTTGTTTGTGTCCTTATGTATTATTTGTGGGTCTAATTATCCGTGACTTGATGGAATTGTCCCACTTGATGGTGGCTGAAGACCCAGGTCCTATTAGCTTTAGATAATTATCCAGACATTAGGAGAGCGAAAAATTAATATATATATATGTAATTATATATAATTAATATGGTAGGAGGATTGTTTTCAGTTAATAGTTCTAATGTTCAAATTACTTCTTGGCCACAACACAAAGGCCCATGACTCTCCATGACTGTCTTAAGTTACCTCTGGCGGATCTAGCAGAACCAAAACTCAAGAGAAGTTTAAGTTAAAACAAAAATTACATAGTTTGTGACTAGTTTTAGATTACTGATGCTGTTTCACATAAAATGGTTAGAAAGAGCAGCATCTTGAACTCCCGAGAAACTTCAATGAGCTTGGTTATCATGTAGATATGGTTTATGGTGCTAAATCCTTTGCGGAACCCTACTTGCTCGCATGGTTGTCCTTCATCTAGTATACTGCCAATCCTATTCAGGATGACTCGAGTGAACAGCTTGTAGATGACAGACAATAGGCAGATTGGATGATAGTTGCCAATGTCATGGATGTCTCCCTTCTTGTACAGTAGTACAGTCCTGCAGGTTTTCCATTGGCACAGAACCTTGAATTCAGACAGGTAGTGTGTGAAGAGCCAAGTCAGTGTATTGATGAGTACTCACGCCAGTTTCTTCAGGTATTCAGGTCTGACCTTTCCTGAACCAGGTGCTGTTTGCTTCTTTACTGACGAAATGGCATGTCGAATTTCACAAGTCAGAACGTTGGAAACGACATATCCATCCTGTGGAATCTGGTATGTGGGCAGGTGGACCTGACTATTGAAGAGATCTGAGTAGAAGTCATGGATAATCTTCTCCGTTGCCCTTCTGGAAGATGTGATAGATCCATCAGGACGTTTGAAGTCAGTCATCATGGTCTTGTAGTTGGCGAGCGACAGGTGGGCATTAGGAAGGCTTTTCCTGACTTCTGCTGCATCTACCAGCACTTCTGCTCTTCTCTCTTTGAAGTCTTCCTTGATCACATCTCTGCACTGCTTTGCGAGCTTGGACATTCACTTGCAGTTGCCAGAGGCATGCACCAAACCACGTTGGTGAATAAGCTCAAGAGTTTTAAAAGTCAGGCGTTTATTTTTTTTTTTTGTGGCTATCTCTTTCTTGGCATTCCTTGCACAATCATAGAGGTGCTACACCAGTCGATTGTATTTCTCGTCAATGTTGTCAATGATGGCATCTTCCCATTTTGAAGCAATAGTGCCAAAGAGCTCCCAGTTGGTGGTTGTTCTGAGAGTTTTCTTCTTAAACTTTGCAGCCTTTTCTCCCTGCTCTATGAAGTAGAATTTTGCATGAAGGAGGTGGTGGTCCAATCCCGTTTGGAATTTTGTGACAACAGCAACATTGGTCAGGCAAAACAGTCGATTAAATATGATGTGGCCAATTTCCTTGTGGAACCTTCCACCGGGAGACTCCCATGTCCAACGTTTAGATTGGGCCTTCTGGAACTGTTACTTACCATAGATGGTCTTAGTCAACATGCTGAACTCAGACAGTCTCTCACCCTGTTCATTCCATTCTAGGCCATGGGTCCCGATGTGGAGTTCTATGGCTGATCTTTTCGGTTCTATATTGGCATTAAAATCACCAACAATGTTCTTGTAGAAGGTGTGGTCCTCTTTATTATTTATTATTTATTGCATCTTATATTCGATATGTATCCTTGGATGTAATCATGCTTAATTACAACATTGGAATAAAATCAAGCTTTTGATCTCATAAGAAGAATTTGATATATACCTCAATCAAAAATCTGTCAAAATCATTTCTCCTTTACATGGCAATTATTTTTGTCAGACACTAAAATTCCAAAAATATAACTGGAGGTATAAACTGTTTTAATAAGAAAAATAAAACAACTTCAATCAAATAAAGTAAATAAAATAAATAAAATCAAGTAAAACATTTTCAAGTATTCAATCAAAGCTTAATAGATAAATCCAGTATATATGCATTAAATCATTGAGATATGGCAGATCCTAGAGAATATGTGATTATGATATTTTTATGCTAAAGAAATAGAATACTTAATCGATAGGTATCTTGCAGGAAGATACCTATCTCATGACATCTTAAAAGAAATACTATACTCTAAATTATCAAGATGCATGAATATGAAGAGGACAATCTTACAGTCTTAGAAGATGAATAAGCACAGAATGAAAAGATGAATATGCACTGAATATGAAAGTGATAATTGATTATTTTGTAAACTTACACTCTACGGATATTTTTCATGGCATTTCAATGACAAATATGGCTAAAGTATTTGATAAATACACACTACTCCAACATCAGTGGAACAAATATTTGTATCATCAAATGCATTGCATTTTGTATCACCATAATTATTTGCTTCACCTTCGTTTCAAAACACTATGCCATTTTTGTGATCGAGCATGTTAATTTCTATATCTACTATTTGAGTAACTTTCATATTGAAGAAAATGAACCCTCAATATGTTCAGTTTAAACTCTAAATTCATTTCTCTGAGTGAATAGTAAAAATATGCATTTATTTTTTAGTAAAATAATAGTTTTAATAAAAAACATTTACTTAGAGAAGTGTGAGAGGAACAAAACGAAGGTATCCCAGTTAAAGGTAGAACAAGATTTCTCCAGAGTTTAAAAAAGGCAAAATATGGTGCTGGAGCAATAGCACAGCAACTAAGGCATTTGCCTTGTAAGCGGCTGAACCCGGGTTTAATTGCCAGCATCCCATAGGGTCCCTGGAGCACTGCCAGGAGTAATTCCTGAGTGCAGAGCCAGGAATGACCCCTGAGCTTCGCTGAATGTAACCCAAAAAGCAAAAGAAAAGGCAAAATATATAGTTATAAATCAAAACAATTCTTTGAACTAGAACTGATATGTTTAATTTTAAAAAAATCTAAACAAAGAAAATATATCAAAAATTATCTATGGGAGATAGTTCACTTAACAACCTCCCACCCCCCACAGCTGAACATAGTCCCCTAAGAAAAATACAGGTAAATTCTTAGATTATAAAGTGGCAGCAAACCTACTCTAAGGATATAACAGAATAAACTACAGGGCAAGCAAAAATTTGACCAGGAAATAATAGAATAAAAAAATAGCATCTTCTAGATGAAGAGGACAATATGAACAAAGATAGAATAGGAACTCTCATGACCTTACTTTATACTTTAAAGATGTCTGCTAATTGGCTTTGTGTTAAATGCATGCCTCTGCTCTGAATGCAGCCACTGAAATGTGATGTGCTTAGTAACTGTTCTTAGTGTGTCTGCCAACTTAAACAATAATTCGCAGGCTGGGAACAAGGGTGGAGGAGAGAAATATTGAATCAATGGCCTGGCTGCAAGCTCACTTTTGGCTGCTCAAGCAACCCTAAAGCTTGGACAATCCTGTTTGTTTGTATCCTTATGTATTATTTGTGGGTCTAATTATCCGTGACTTGATGGAATTGTCCCACTTGATGGTGAGTGAAGACCCAGGTCCTATTAGCTTTAGATAATTATCCAGACATTAGGAGAGTGAAAAATTAAAAAAAAAATATATATATATATATACTTTAGGTGATATGGTAGGAGGATTGTTTTCAGTTAATAGTTCCAATGTTCAAATTACTTCTCGGCCACAACACAAAGGCCCATGACCCTCCATGACTGTCTTAAGTTACCTCTGGTGGATCTAGCAGAACCAAAACTCAAAAGAAGTTTAAGCTAAAACAAAAAATTACTGTTTGTGACTAGTTTTAGATTACTGATGCAGTTTAACATAAAATCAAGGACAATGGAAATCACAGCTGGGAAACTGAAATTTAATGTTGAAATTTCCAGTAAAATTTTCTAGGACCATTAACTATGACTCTAGTGTAAACCATTAAGCAGTTATTTTTCTTAGCTAGTGGTTTAGTTAAAAATAATTACTATACACATTTACATTAGCATTATACAAGTATGAAATCTAAATCACTTAATTATGAGAAATATATGTAAATGTAAATGTCAGAGACTTAAAAACTGATACAGACATCATTTAGAAATATACAATATATAAAACAAACCAGCACTGTCCTCCCATTGTTCATTGATTTTGTTCGAGCGGGCCCAGTAATGTCTCCATTTTGAGACTTCTTGTTACTGTGTTTGGCATATCAAATATGTCACGGGTATCTTTCCAGGCTCTGCCGTGGGGCGATACTCATGGCAGCTTGACGGGCTTTCTGAGAGGGGTGGAGGAATCGAATCAAGCTCAGCCGGGTTGGCAAGGCAAACACCCTACTGCTGTGCTATCGCTCCAGCCACATCTTCAGCAGCACATATACTAAAATTGGAACAATACAGAGAAGATTTGCATGGCCCCTGCGCAAGGATGACAACATATATAAGAATGATTATATTCATTTTAATATATATATGTGATGCATAGATGATATACATACAGACTTTAATATTCAGGAATAAGAAAAATACTAGACCTTTTGAATAGAAGAAATTAACAACACTAAAATAGGTACTTGCAATAGAAAGGGATTCTCATATGGTTGAAGGAACTAGTGCATAGATGTTGATTATCTAGTCTATATATGCTTGAAATGAAAAACCTTCAAAGTTTTGCAGAGCCCTGAAACATACATATCAAAAGAATTATGTAGATTTTCCAAAATTAATAAATGTGATTAATTAAATATAGCACTGTAGCAATGTCATTCATCAATTTGCTCGAGTGAGCACCAGTAACGTCTCCATTGTGAGACTTGTTACTCTTTTTGGCATATCAAATATGCTACTGGGAGCTTGCCAGGCTCTGTTGTGTGGGAAGGATACTCTCGGTAGCTTGCCAGGCTTTCCATGAAGGAAGGAGGAATCGGACCTGGTTCAGCCCCTTGCAAGGCAAATGCTTTATCTGCTGTGCTATTGCTCCACCACCTGTAAAAAATATTTTTCACGGAGGGAAAGGATGAGATGATGATGTATGTGCGTTCACATGCTCTGTGAGCAGCTCTCTCTCGCCGCCCACGTTGGGTGCTCTCAAGCTGCTGTGTATGGACCGGATCTGTATGGCTCCTCCTTTGTGCTCTGCGTCTGTGTGTGCCGCTGTGCTCTCTTCTGTCTGTCTCTCTATTTCTGACTCTGTCTCTGCAGTCTCTCCTCTGGTCTCGTAGATCTCTCTCTGGAGCCTTTCTGCTTCTCTCTCTGGAGTGCATTAAATGTATAATTATATATATATATAAAATTATATGTTATATTGTATATATTATATATATAAAATTATTGGCTGGAATGATAACACAGCAGGAGGGCATTTGCCTTGCACTCAGCCAACATGGCTGACCCTGAGTTCGATTCCTCCACCGCTCTCAGAGAACCCAGCAATCTACCGAGAGTATCTCGCCCACATGGCAAAGCCTGGCAAGCTACCCGTGATGTATTCAATATGCCAAACACAGTAACAAGTCTCACGATGGAGATGTTACTGGGCCCGCTCGAGCAAATCAATGAACAATGGGAGGACAGTGACAGTGATACATAATTGTATACTGTATTATATGTCCACTGTTCACTGTCCTGTTGCATGAAGGAATCGGCAGAGGAACCCAGGCATGCGGTTCCCGCAGTTGAGATCTCCAAGTCTGCTTGGATCAGGGCTGAGCATCCTCCACCCAGATCCCCATCTTCCAGTAGGCAGGCGTCACACCCACCAACTGCCCCCGGCATCAGGTAATCCCATCAATGGCCAAGACCAGAGACTATAAAACCCAGCTCCCAGAAGCGTGCGGCCGCATTTGTGGCTGTGCAACATATTATTATCTCGTTGTTACTTATGACAACCCGGCAGGCTACCGAATGTATCCTGCCCACATGACAGAGTTTGACAACCTCGCTGTGGTGTCCTCAATATGACAAATACCAGTAACAATGATGGGTCTCATTCTCCTAACCCTGAAAGAGCATTTCACAGGGCTAGGACGAAGGAGGCGTTACTGGTGCCTGCTCAAGGCAATCGATGAACAACAGGATGATCGTGATCATGATTAAACATATAATTGTCACTGTCACTGTCCTCCTGTTGTTCATCGATTTGCTCGAGTGGGCCCAGTAACGTCTCCATTGGAGACTTTTGTTGGTACTGTGTTTGGCATATAGAATACATCACGGGTAGCTTGCCAGGCTCTGCGGTGCGGGCAAGATACTTTCGGTAGCTTGCTGGGCTCTCCAAGAGGGGCAGAGAAATCGAACTCCGGTCAGGCATGTTGGCTGCGTGCAAGGCAAACGCCCTACCTCCGTGCTATCGCTCCAGCCCATATAATTGATAAAATGGTTATATATTACATACACAACTGAGGAGAAACAACGTGCTTTTTTCAATATAATATGTACATCTGAAAAATAATTATATTTATAATTATATAAAATATATTGAATAGAACATCAGACAAGATGAGCAATGTGAGTATGGTAAGGTATAGCTAATTATAGTGGTAATCCTAAAATCATCACATTATGAAAGAAATATTAAAATTAAATTTTCATATTGAATATTGTGTGCAGTAATGATATAGATTTTTTCAGGTAACAAACCACTTAGAGAATTGTAACTGGATCTCCATCATTGAAATAATAATAAATAAAAACTGTAAGTCAAAAGGGAAAAATGCCTCAAAACAAAAAATGTAAGAAAGAATGAAAATTAAATAAACATTTGCCTGGGTAAATCTACAGAAATGTTGCCCAAGAAAGTATATGTACAATTATATATCAACATACATTAATATAACTCATATGAAATCAAAGCAAAAATATCCTAGGAAAGAATTATATTAACTGGGACAATGATAACTGGCATCAAAATTTCTAATGCCCCTGTACTGTTCGGAAATAAGTAAATTTTAAATATATTATTGAAAATACTATATATGTTGGGATATCTAGTTTTATGCTAAATTTCAGAGCTTTAAGCTATGATGTTGAAAATGTGTTGATCTTTGTTTCATCTCTGGCACCTATTAGCCACATTAAATCTTCTTTATAAATGTTGGTCCTATGACAAAGAAATGGAATGTATGATATAATGTTGTTTTAAGCGTGGTCATTCACTTATGTGTCACTTTTGGGGACACTACAGGAGGATTACGTTTTGAAGTAATATTAATATTAATATTTATTCTTAAAAAAGTAAAGGCCCTCCTGTTGATCATCGATTTGCTCGAGCGGGTCCAGTAACGTCTCCACTGGAGACTTTGTTGTTACTGTGTTTGGCATATCGAATACGTCACGGGGAGCTTGCCAGGCTCTGCCGTGCGGGCGAGATACTCTCGGTAGCTTGCCGGGCTCTCCGAGAGGGGCAGAAGAATCAAACTCGGGTCGGCCATGTTGGCTGCATGCAAGGCAAACACCCTACTGCTATGCTATCACTCCAGCCCAAAGAATTATATATCATTCAGAAGATGGCATAAAGATTTTTTTTTTTTTATTTATTGAATCACTGTGGGAAAGGTTACAAAGCTTTCAGGTTTATGTCTCATTCATGCAAATATCAAACACATTTCCCTTTACCAATACTTATTTTTTCCCATGAAGAACCCCAATAAAACCCCACCCCCCACCCCTTCCCATCCCTGTGAGGCAGATGAATTCTAGTTAACACTCTATCCGCTTTGATTAGATTGTTTCAATAAAAGATTCACCACTATTATTTAGAGTTTACCCCCCCCCCCCCAAATCAGACATGCTGAAAAAGCATTGTGAAATGATTTGCTTTCTCCAGCTGGGTTCAAGAATTAAATGTTGGTTTTGGATTTCTGCTATTTTACTTATTGACCCTGGAAGTATTTCTACTGAAAGTCAGATAGTTAAGAAATTGGTTTCTGTGTTCTGGAGTCGTGGCCGTGCTGGAGAGCCGCTCGTGGGGGGCAACTGGTGGCCTCGGTAGGGCGTGAAGGGCGGAGCGAAACGCCCCCCTTCCCATGAGGTTTTAGTCGCCCCCACACTCCCGGCTCATACCTGCTGTCCACAAGGCTCCCATGTGGCCGCCATCTTTCTTTCCAGAGAGGAGAGGGCGAATGGGGCAACAGCCTTTCCCCTCCGGCAGACTTGATGGGCTGGATCAACGCATAGTCCATTCACTTTTCTGCTCCAAGCTGCTGGGTTCTGCATTAAGTCCTTGTGCTTCTGGGGCCATGGCTGTGCTGGAGAGCCGCTCGTGGGGGGCAACTGGTGACCTCGGTAGGGCGTGAAGGACGGACCGGAACGCCCCCCGACCCATGAGGTTTTAGTCGCCCCCACTCCCCCGGCTCATACCTGCTGTCCACAAGGCTCCCATGTGGCCGCCATCTTTCTTTCCAGAGAGGAGAGGGCGAATGGGGCAACACCCTTTCCCCTCCGGCAGACTTGATGGCCTGGATCAATGCATAGTCCGTTCACTTTTCTGCTCCAAGCTGCTGGGTTCTGCATTAAGTCCTTGTGCTTCTGGGGCCGTGGCTGTGCTGGAGAGCCGCTCGTGGGGGGCAACTGGTGACCTCGGTAGGGCGTGAAGGACGGACCGGAACGCCCCCCTTCCCATGAAGTTTTAGTCGCCCCCACACCCCCGGCTCATACCTGCTGTCCACAAGGCTCCCATGTGGCCGCCATCTTTCTTTCCAGAGGGAGGAGGGCGGAAGGGAGCAACACCCTTTCCCCTCTGGGCAGAAATGATTGCCTGGATTAACGCATAGTCCTTTCACTTTTCTGCTCCAAGCTGCTGGGTTCTGCATTAAGCCCTTGTGCTTCTGGGGCTGTGGCCGTGCTGGAGAGCCGCTCGTGGGGGGCAACTGGTGACCTCGGTAGGGCGTGAAGGACGGACCGGAACGCCCCCCTTCCCATGAGGTTTTAGTCGCCCCCACACCCCCGGCTCATACCTGCTGTCCACAAGGCTCCCATGTGGCCGCCATCTTTCTTTCCAGAGAGGAGAGGGCGAATGGGGCAACACCCTTTCCCCTCCGGCAGACTTGATGGCCTGGGTCAATGCATAGTCCGTTCACTTTTCTGCTCCAAGCTGCTGGGTTCTGCATTAAGTCCTTGTGCTTCCGGGGCCGTGGCTGTGCTGGAGAGCCGCTCGTGGGCGGTGACTGGTGACCTCGGTAGGGCGTGAAGGACGGACCGGAACGCCCCCCTTCCCATGAGGTTTTAGTCGCCCCCACACCCCCGGCTCATACCTGCTGTCCACAAGGCTCCCATGTGGCCGCCATCTTTCTTTCCAGAGAGGAGAGGGCGAATGGGGCAACACCCTTTCCCCTCCGGCAGACTTGATGGCCTGGATCAATGCATAGTCCGTTCACTTTTCTGCTCCAAGCTGCTGGGTTCTGCATTAAGTCCTTGTCCTTCTGGGGCCGTGGCTGTGCTGGAGAGCCGCTCGTGGGGGGCAACTGG